GTGGTCAAAAGGCTAACTGTTCTTCCAAAGGCCCCGGGGGCCTTGGGAGTTCGATTCCCAGAACCCACATGGCAGCTTTTGACTGCCTATAACCTTAGTTCCAGAGGATCTGATGCCTTCCTGATACCCTCTTCTGACCTCCACGGGCACGACCCACACATGGTACAATGACATACATACATGTAGGCAGTACACCCATACATTTAAAAGGAATTTGAAAAGACTTAAGAATTAAGAATTAGGATGCAGGAATAGGAATGGAAAGAAATGGGTTTATTACTTATTTGTAGACCAGGCTGGCCCAGACTCAGAGATCAACCTGCCTCTACTTCCCAAGTGCTGGGTTAAAGGTGTGTGCTGCTGCCACCCCACCCCCACCACCCCTTGGGCAGTAATGAACTTATAAGATTACAAACTCTTTATAGGAACTAGGGCCCAGTTATCTAAAACAAGAAAGTGAACAATCAGTACAACAGGATCCCTAAAGCTCATGTCTTTTACAGGGTTTTTGTCCAGAAAGAGACCATCAAGGAACATTTGGAACTGTTCAGAAACTTATCTGGGGGATTTTCCGAGTCTGAGATTTACTCTCTGGCACACTGCACACTGCTTTTATATAGATCAATTTTACTGCAGGTCCTCTGCTTTTTCCCTTGAGTCAACAGTAGAAGCCCTTTAAAATCCCTGCTGCGGGGTTTTCCACAGCCAAAGGGATTCTGCATGCTGGTCAGTATACCTAGGAGACCAGCCAGGAGGGCAGTGTTAACTCAGTCCAGCCTGTTTTGCTCAATCCCAAATGTTTCAGTGGTTGGGTCTCCCCATAATGTACATGCTAAAATCCTACATTAAGTGGGGCTTGGGGGCTCATGATAAAGTTTCAGGAACTAGATTTATAGGCCAAGGGAGTTCACCCACATGAGGGCATAGTGAGGCCAGAACCCATAAGACAAGTGAACTGAAGTGATCAGGGGGGTTTGATCATCTGAAAATGCCAACAGGTTGGCAGCTTGGTCAGTTCAAAGATCATGTCTTGCCATCCATGATTCCACGGTCATTACACAGCCTGAAGCTCTTGCTCATTTCCATGCTGTGGCTGGACAACTGTTTAAAGGCAGGAAACTGATGCATCAACTTCTGCTTCTGACACCAGAAGGGAAGACAGCCGAGAAACCAAGCCAGAGCCAGAAGTGATGTCATTCAACACTGTGACATCACAGTGTTTCTTTTCTGCTGCCTTCACCCATTTTTGTCTCCCTGTCACCACCTCATCTCCCCAGTCATCTGGCTCCCACATAGCTGCACACACTTGTATACAAAAGCACAGGCACCATCTGGGCACCCAGGTACATGAAGGCGGTAGGAGGGAGGGTTGCTAATGCCCAGTGCTTTTGCTGTAGCCACAGCATTGGGATGGAAAGTGAGGAGGACAGTGGAGAGCAACAGGGAAGAGGATGACTGTCCCTGGTGCTGCTGTGGTTTACCATGCGTATCCCTCCATCCCCAGTCCTCTCCCTGACTTTCTACCCGAGCACTGACCATGGCCTCAGAAGCAGAAAGAACATTCCATCGGTTTGCTGTCTTTGGGGAATCGTCCAGCAGTGGCAATGAGATTAACAACAAGAACTTCTCTAAACTCTGTAAAGACTGTGGCATTATGGACGGCAAGGCGGTGACCTCCACAGATGTGGACATTGTGTTCAGCAAAGTGAAGTAAGGGGCCAAAGGTGGGGAGTGAGGTGAAAAGGTCACAGCATATTTGTTGTGCTTTGGGCTTGTTGGTTTTTGAGACAGGGTGTCTCTGTGCAACAGTCCTGGCTCTCCTGGAACTCACTCTGTAGACCTGGCTGGCCTTGAGCTCAGAGATTTGCCTGCCTCTGTCTCCTGAGTGCTGGGATTAAAGGTGTGAGCCACTACCGCCAGGCCAGATGGCACAGTTCTTATGACGGGAGATTTATAAGAAACATCTGGCAGGTGCCAGGCACTGTCCTAGTCCCTATTCTCAGGATTCATTGCCAGGAAAAAAAGAGGCCACGTCTGAGTAAGAAAAAGGGAGATGTCGGGAGGCAATGACTTTGCTCTCCAGTTACTGGATTTCTGTCTGACTGGCCAGGGCCAAGAATGCCAGAACCATCAACTTCCAACAGTTTCAAGAGGCGATGAAGGAGCTGGGCCAAAAGCGGTTCAAAGGGAAGAGCCTAGATGAGGCTTTGGAGGATATTTATAAACTCATGGAAGGCAAGGACCCTGCCACCACAGGAGTTACTGTGAGTAACGTTCTTAATTTTTGTCTGCCCTTTTCCTTTCTTTCTCTTTTCCCTTCCTTCTTTCCTCCCTTCCATCCTTTCTTCTTTCCTGTCTGCCTGTCTTTCTAGCTAGCAGGACATTACTCTGTTAGCTTAGAGTGGCCTGGAACTGACTGTGTAATCTTCATACTTCAGTCTCCCAAACGCTAGAATTATAGGTGTGTGCTGCCATACCTGCCTTAATAACAGCCTTCTTCGTCTCCAGCTGGGAGCTCCACTTCCTCAGATTCCACTGCTCTAGGCCCCGCCCAAATCCTGTCAGCATGGTGCCTGCAAAGGAGACAGGGTAGAAAGCCTGTCCTGGAAGACTTTAGAACCCTGTGGTCATGCGGGAGGTGAGAGAGTAGTGGCGTGGAAAGAGACTTGCTCCAGGTGCAACTGGTGCGACCAGCTACACCGTTAAACCGCAGCATAGCTATCCCACTAGGTGAAGTTAGACTCGCTCTCAAGGCTCATGTCTTCTGGGGCTTTGGAGGCACATTCGCACTGGAGGAATTGGATGCCTGCTCCCCCAGTCCTCTGCCTACATATTTTAATCTCAGAGTTCCTGCCTCTCACCTCTTCTTCCTAAACTGTTTCCTCTGTACACACCGTACACTGGGGCAGGGCTTGGGCCTGAAGCCCTCTGGCAGTAGCCTGACCAAGATAACTCCTCCGGATACAGAGAAATCCACTGTCCTTTCCCACGGCAGAACCCTCCTGTGTCATGAGTGGTGACAGAGTTCCTGCCCACAGCTGTGTCTGGGCCTCAGGAAGCGGCACCAGGCCAGATGAGCAGAGCTTTGCACTCCGAGCATGCGCCATAAGGCTCCAACACCATACGTGGGGAAGGCTGTGAGAGTGTGGGGAAGGGAAGAAGGCTCAAACACCCGTCCCCCCTTGGCTTGCAGAAAGCAACAACAGTGGGTGGAGTAGAGCGGTTGACAGACACCAGTAAGTACACTGGAACCCACAAGGAGCGCTTTGATGAGAGTGGCAAGGGGAAGGGCATCGAAGGACGGGAAGAGACCACAGACAACTCAGGCTATGTGAGTGGCTACAAGGGGGCTGGCACCTATGACAAAAACAGCAAGTAGAGAGGAGCCTTCTTCGCCTGCTGGTTTCCTGACCCTGTGTTTTTAACACCAGGAAATGTAGGGACTAATAAACTTCGTGTGTGCAGCACCTAGTGAGTTCTATCTTGTGAGTATGAGGACCAGATTGGTGCACAGACAGAGACAGGGAGGAGAGAAAGCCCAAGGATCCATGGTTTTCAGCCATGGACCTTTACCCTCCTAAGCCTCGTGCACACCAGCCATAATGTAGTAGTCTCCTTGGCAACCGCTCCTGAGGACAGGTCTGGGGAATACATTATGGAGATAAGAGTTAAATCAGATGCAGAAGAAAAAACATTTGCTTACTGTGTTCGGACATCAGTGGCCTCCATTCCTTCTGTCACCCCAAAGGAAGTCATAGCTCCTGATTTGACATACCATGACCCCAGGTTCACTTAGTTTAATGTGTCTCCCAACTTGCTCATCTGTTAGAATCCAAGTTTTGTTGGGGGAGAGATTAAAAACCAGGAAGGAAAGCCTAATGTTACAAATCACAAATCTATTTTCCAGCTGAGGAAAGAGAATCTTTCTGTCTGCTTGTTTGGTTGATGGGTTTGATTTGTGAGACAGGAGTCTCAGTGCTAAGCCTGGCTGGCTTGAAGGCCTGGAACCCTAGGTCAGGCTGGCCTTGAACTTACAGAGACAACTGCTGGGATTGAAGGCCTCCACCTGCCCCTCCTTCCATCGTCAAGCACACTGATTTCCAACTGCTAACAGTAGTTCTGAAGGATGGTCAGAGACAGGGGACACCAAAAGCAGGGAAGGGAATTAAATCACGACTGAGTTGGATGGTTTTTAACATTTTATTTGCAAATTATTGCCGATTCACAAGTCAATACAGAAAGGAGCTCAGGAACCTTTTGCGTAGCTCCCCCCTATGGTTATTTTTACACTTTCCACAACTGGAAATTGGGCCTGCCTCATCATCTGCCACCTGAGTGGCACAGGCCTTGGAGTCTGGGAAATGGTGGGTAGAGGGGAGGGAGGAAAGGGGGACTGAGGGACCTGGGAAGGAACAAAAAAAAAAAAAAAAAAAAAGATAACTTGAACTACTGGTGGTCCTAGGTAAGAGAAGGGTGGGAGGCAGATTGGGAAAAGGTAGGCAGTATGGCTGTGCTGTGAGTGGTTAGTCAGGAGAGCAGGGGAAGAAAACAGCACTAAACTCCATGGTGGGGGGAGGTGGGAAAGAAGAGATATGAAGGGGAAATCACAGGCAAGTGCAGGCGGGAGACAGAGGAGGCTGGGGGGGGGGAGACAAAATCGACCTAAGGATGCTAGTGAGGTTCCTTTTGCTGAAGAGTGGCAAGAATTATAAGGGAAATGGGAGAGACCGACACTAAAAGCAGGGATAGGGAGAAATGCTGAAACTGGATGTCTGTTGTTATGGTGTGAGTTGGGGCCTGGGCCTCCGTCCAGAAGTCGGGATCTGGCCCAGCAGATAGACAAGCCCTGCCAGCTGGACACTGTCAGCTTCTTGGGTGGGTTTTACTGTCGCTGGGAGAGGGAAGCTCATGGTGGGGGTGATGAGAAGGTGAAAAGAAGCTGAAGGACTGTGGGGCACTGCCTCAGAAGTCAGGAAGGAAGACATGCCACCAGGTTCTGACTTTGGGAACAGGCTTTGGGGTGGCATGTAGAGGCCTGTATGAGGTGGGACTGGTTTATGAGCTAAGTCCCTAGGAGAGGCCAATGATACCTATTGGCTCGGCATTATGCTTGCTGGAGCAGAGCAAGTACAGCCTCTGGTTGGTCAGCGTGCTATTGTAGCTGCAGCTGGTTGGTGGTTGTTTAGAGCCCAAGGTGCAGACTGTGATGGGGAAGGAGTTCTGAGTGAGGGTGCAATACTCATTGTAGTTCTCGCAGAAGCTCTCGCTGTATTTGCAGAACTTTCGGATGCCTTCCCACGGGGCATGTACCACATAGTGGACCTTAGGGCAGTACCAATCCTTCATTCTGCCCCTCACATAGGCCATGAGGCCATTACAGTACCCGTGGAAACCCTTCGGGTAGTTAATCATGGGGTAGTCAACGTGTAAGGTGCGGAAGTTCTTGATGGCAATCTTGATCTTGATGCCTATCACCAGGGTTGGCCGTAAGATAATCTGGAGGACCAGGAGCCAGGCCACATCTCGAGGCATGCCTTCTGCTGTCAGAGTTAAAGTAATCAGAGGTGCATTAGGCCCAAAGAGACTGTCCACCCTTCCCCGAGCCTCCAGTATCCCCCAGTTTTCCCTATGTGCCTCCCTTACCCTCTAAGAACTGTCCAGTAACTTACAAATCCTGATACTCCAGAGAGATGAGGCCTTGCTCAAGGCCACCTCTCAGACCAGCCATCTCCAGCCAACCCTCCCCTGCTGTGGTTCACCACCAGTCTCAGTCTTACCCAGTCTCTGGGCTGCAGCACGGAATCAAAGGTCCAGCTGGTCCCTGGGTAAGAGATGCTTCTGGGTGCTCCCTGTTCCTGGCACCCCTTATGGTAGTTAGTACAGAAGGAATGGAGAGCAGGCAGCTGGGCCAGTCCCTGGCAGCTCTGCAGGAAGAAATTGAAGTCAGGGAGGGGAGTGGGAGGCAGGGATGCATCTTGCCTGAGGCCACTTACAGCCTAGAGGTGAGATGAGGCTTAAAAGTTTTCTGGAAGGAGGGAGTGTCTCCTGAGTTTGAGAAGCCCTGTGATAAGTAGGCTAGATGGGTAGGAGGAAAGATACATTGCTGTCTGGTCTCCTCTCTGGTGCCCTCAGAACACTTTGTTCCAACTGCCTGGCCAGAAACCCCTGAGTCCCTGCCTTCTTTGATGTCTGCTCTGGCCCACTGGTCCTGCTTTTGGTGAAGTGGGAAGGAAAAAAACCATCCTGTCACTGAGGAACAAAGTGTTTACCTTTGATCAAGGGTTTACCACTGTCTAATCCCACTTCCCAGCCCCAGAGGCCATGTGCAGGGACACCTCCCGCCAAAATGACAGACTGAGAACAAAGAACCTCCACAAGGACTCCCCACAGTGCCCAGCTGACTGTGCCAACACCCTGCACCTGTGACTCAGTCAGTTCAGGGACCTGCTAGAAGTCTTTGCATGCTGCCTTTGGAGCCTCAAGGTTGCCAGGTTGGCTGTGTTAGCATTGCCTGGGACTTGAGAGAATGTGAACCGCCAGGTTGGATCAGATTCGTAGTACTGGCTGGTCTGTGGTAGCTTGTCCTGCTGAGGAAAGGGCTAACAAGTTCCTCAGCTTTTTATCAAATGTCTGGATCTTCATCAAAGTCAACAAGCTAGCTCCAAGGAACCTGCTAGCTCACAGGCCTTTTAGTCTCTTCTCCCTGTAGGTCTTCTCCACATTTGCACATCTGGGGGCTTTCTTTGGTGACAGGGGTCACCAAATTTGTTATCCTCCTGTCTCGGTCTCTTGAGTGCTGGAAACACAAGCATGTGTCACCCAGCCCAGCTCCTTGGCCTTGCTCTTAGGAGAACTTATCCTTCAGCAGCAGACAAGGGAGTCAGAAGGCAGAGCATTGGGTGCTCTGGGCTCACTGTGGAGCTTAGGGGAAGGAGGAGCTGGTTTCAGAGAGACATGTTAATGTTCTCTATGTAGTCCTTCATTTGCAGCCTCCTCTGGACTTGCTCTTTCTGGCCGCACAAACTAGAGTCCAAAATTAAATCTATTTGCCTCAAACTTAGTTCTCTGTGTCTTTGTCTTTGTTTTCTTGTTGCTATGGTAAGAAGCTTTGACAAGAGCCGCCTCAGGGAGCAGGGTTTATTCCGGTTCATATATCAAGGAGAGCCCCATGGGGGTGGGGAAGTGAAAGCAGCTGGTCACATAGAATCCAGTCAGGATGCAGATACCAATGAGCACATGTCCCTTTCTCCATTCATACAGCCCAGCATCCCAGGCAGAAAACAGTGCTGCCCGAAGTGACTGGGTTTTCCCAGCTCAATTAATTCTATCAGGACTGTGCCCCAAAGGCACAATCGCGTCTCCTGGGAGATTCCAGAATCAGTTGATATTAGCACTAATGCTCATATTCGTGTATATACCTTCTCAGTTTTCTGTGCTAGTCTCCTCTGTCCCACTGTTAACCACAAGGCATGATTGTAAAATCATCAAGCCTTAAGTCCTGGCTCCATAGTTTAGTAAAGTGTGTTTACCAAGCTTCTGCCTCATCTGTTCTCAAGGATAGGATGCTATATCTCATAGTGGTATCAGCACTCACTAAGATGTCAGTCACGAGCTTTGACCCAGTGCCTGGCTCATGGTGACTACTCAGTATGCACATGAATCCGTAAGCCATGCAGCCCTCAGAGTCTGACTTAAAACTCCCCAAATCTGTCCCTCCTTTGCATATTTCTTTCCCAGCTCAGCCTCTTCTTTTCCCTGAATGCCACACACTGAACTTCACTAAGTCTCAGTATCTTTCATCCAACTTCTGAAAAAGAAATTCATTCCCCTGGGGCTGGAGAGATGGCTCAGTGGTTAAGAGCACTGGCTGGCTGCTCTCCCGGAGGACCCAAGTCAGTTCTCAGCACTCACATAACCTGTAACCTCACAACCACCTGTAACTCCAGTTCCAGGGAATCTGGTACACTCTTCTGGTCTCTCTGGACTCCTACACATTAGAAATAAGTCTCAAAATTTGTTTATCCCTTCATAATAGTTTCATGTTTCTTACAATATATAACCCAGTCAGCATCTCAGAGGACACAAGGCTGCCATGATCTTGTTCTTGTCCATGTCTGCACCTGCATTTACAACTCTGCCAGCTTCCCACCTTGTCCTGCATCACACACCAATGTCCCCACATTGTCTTCTCTACCCAGAATGCTGCCAATGTTTCCCCTTCCCCTCTGGCCTCATTAATTCTATAACTAGTTCATATGGGGACCGGCAGAGGTATCCTTACAGACTTCTCAGCATTGAAGACCTCCCCTGAGGACTGTGCCCAATCCAGACAAGTGAGGATAAAGCCTGCAGAGGCGAGTGGCTGCCCTTCAGGCTGCAGGTCGGAGCCTAAGCCTGACTGACTGAAGCTGTGCTTTAGGGTCGTCAGCCACCAAGTCTGTGCCCAGTTTCAGTCATTCCATCTCACCCTGACTCCCTCCAGGCTGCAGCGGAGCTTTTCATTGCTCTTTCCATAAGTCACATCACCACTGTCTCGTCCCCCCCCCCCACTACTCACCTAGACACAAGTTTCCGAAACCTAAGGGCACATTATAGAGGAAGGGGTTCACTTACTGTCTCTGGTCTCATCTTCTGTAAGATAACACCTTCCTTAGTTCAGACGGCTGTGAGAATAATGTTACAATACATATGAAAGGCCTTTTAATCGTTCTATGAAACCATATGTAGAGAGGTAAAGGAAACACGGCTCCTAGGTTCTCCATTAATTTACTTTTGTCATATTCAGAGCCCCGTTCATTCTCTAAGCAGACCTAATGACAAATCTACATCCCTGTGCCACCAACCCAGACTCCCCTCTAAACTAAGCCTCTGGGACTCATCTCCACAAAGTTTCCAATTCTTAAAAACGTTTTACTCTTTGAAGATTTTAAACATGAACTTAGACTATACTGACCACCCACACCCTCCGCAACTCCCCCCAGACTGCCCTTGCCTTGCTCCCATCTCAACACCATGTCTACTAAGTCCAACCAGTGCCACTCATACACGGGTGTAGGGACATCTAGGGGCATGGGCACCCTACCAGGGACTAGCTACACCCTTGATGAAAACTGACTGTCCCCAGCAACCATCAACTGCCAATAGCTCCTCAGTAAGGGATGGGGCTGGTAAGCCTCTGTCGTTGGGCTGCTGACTTGATTGTGTGTAGGCAGCCACAGCTGCTGTGCAACAGCCCTGTCCTGTGCAGAAGACAGCATTGACTGCGCATAAGTCCTCCGTGACTGCTGGCCCTTACATCCACTGCTCTTCCTTGATGGCCCCTTAGCCTTACAGGGACGAGGGTGTGACATAGAGGATTTAGGGCTGAGCTTTCCCCCTGAACTTTTATCAGTTGTGATTCTGTAATTAACCATCATTCATTGCAAAGGAGAGGTTCTCTGATGAGATCTGAGAGCTGCACTAATGTCATGTTCATATGTATCTTTATATGCATGGGTGTTTATGTGTATTGTTATACCCATAGTAATGGCAGTTTGATATGTCCATTTAGTAAAATTAGCAGGTTCTTCCCTACGATCTATGACCTTCCCAGCCATTAGTTCCTGGCCAGGTTTACAGTACAGGCATGAGTTCTAGCCTCTGGAGCAGGCCTTAAATAAAATCAGAAAGCTGTTGGTTACCCCCATAATATTCATGTTATTGTTGCACCAATGGGCACATCTCACCAGGCTACTCATTATTGTTGCATGTGGAAGCCGCAGCTGGGTAAGACCATTGACGGTTTGTCTCCCTACCCCTCAAGCTTCATAGCACTTTCCAGCACTATAAAAGCTGGCCAGTAGGTTTGGACCTTGCAGAACAGTACTAGCTTGATTTCTCCATGTCCTGTGATGCAAGTATGTGGTAGCTTCATCAACAAGATTTTACCATCAAGTCCTAGTGAGGAACCAGTAGCAATGGCACTATCCTGTATGGTTTGGAGGGTCTGCCCCATCACCTCAGCCTCCTGAGTGCTAGGATTACACGCACCACACACGGTGCTTATGTCCATGGCATCCTGCTACATTTTGCTCTAGGTACAATAGAACTACAGTTAATGGATGAATCTAGTCTTCTAATGATTGACAGTCTAAGAGGAAAACAATAAAATATGTATGGAAAAATAACAAGAGTCCAGACAGAAAATTGTGTTTATTTATGATTATTATTGATTCTTTAAGATATTGTCTCTCTGTTATGTAGCCCTGACTGTCCTGGAACTAATTATGTAAATCAAGCTGTCCTGAAACTCACAGAGATCCACCTACCTCTGCCTCCCAAGTGCTGGGATTAAAGGCTTGTGCTACTACATTAGGTATAATTTGTAAGCGGATTTTTCTTTGTCCTGCCAGCTCCCAAATCATGACATGGAGACTTATTATGAAAGCTCAACTAATAGCTTAGGCTTGTTTTTAGCCAGCTCTTATAACTTAAACAAACCCATCTCTCTTGTCTATGCGCTGCCCCAAGGCTCATTTACCTCATTTACATAT